TGATCATGTTATTCCATAACTTAAACTGCTTCAATGACTCCCTCTTACCTATGGGATAAAGTTCACCTCCTTTGCAAGGCAAGAAAAACAAAGATCTAGCACCACTCTAGGAGCTTATCTCCTGCCACACATCTTGAACTTTACAGTCTAGCCATAACTATCAACAAAGCAATTCCCCAAATATTCCATGCTGTGTTCATGTTTCCATGACCGTGCATTTACATCTGGTACTTGAATAATGTTGTTTCATTCAATGTTGTTTTGTATAATGTTGATGAGGGAAACAAATCAATTCCTGGCCATGGCGACTGTCTCTGTTGAGTCTGCACACTTCCCCATGTCTGTGTGGGCTTTCTCTGGGCATTCCAGTTTCCTCTCACGTCCCAAAGATGTGCACATAGATGAACTGGTGTGTCTAGACTGTCTCAGTCTGAGTGAGCGTGGGTGTGTGCGTGAGAGCAGACTTGTGATGGAAAGGTATCCTGTCCAGGGCAGGTTCTCCCCTTGCAACCTGAGCTGCCAGGATAGGCTCCAGCCAGAATGGGAATAAGCAGGTTGCAAAATAAATAAATGAATACAAAATAATGTAAAAATATGTAAAGCATACAATAATCATACAGATGCACAATAATGATGCAGTACTAAGTCTCAGGGCACTCACCATATTTGTTCATGTTTTAACTACATGGTAGCAGGACGTGTTCCTTACAGTTTTCACACTGCAAACATCTATTCCTTGATTTACCTCACCCCACATCGACCAATGTCACTCACTGATTCACCAAAAATCAAATAATTATATCTTTATTAGTCTTTCTTAGATGTACATACAGCTCACATTTATTTCAATGTTTAATATAAGAAGTGTTTGGACGTGATGGCTCACGCCTGTAATCCCAGCACTTTGGGAGGCTGAGGCAAGTGGATCACGTGAGGTCAAGAGTTCGAGACCAGCCTGGCCAACATGGCAAAACCCCACCTCTACTAAAAATACAAAGTAAGTAGCCGGGTGTGGTGGCACGCGCCTGTGTAATCCCAGCTACTGGGGTGGCTGAGGCAGGAGAATCACTTGAACCTGGGAGACGGTGGTTGCAGTGAGCTGAGACTGCACTCCAGCCTGTATGACACAGCAAGACTCTGTCTCCAAAAAAAAAAAGCTTCGAGGACTAATGACAAGAAAATTTTAAAATAAAAATAAATAAAAATTTTTTAAAATGTGTTTTGGGTCTTTATTTAGATGCTTGGTGATGTTTTTGTAACCAGAAATATGTCACAGGAACTTAACTCTTGTTCATTATCAATTAGCCTATGGTAAAATTGGTTTCATTATAGTAATTTTGTTTAAGTTACAGTTTCCAAAGAGGAATTACTATACTTGCCTTTCTCCTAGGTATGCCTACTGACAGACACTAAGGTATACCTATTTTAAGGTATACCTACTGACAGACCCTAAGCCAGTTTGTAAAAACATTTAACCACTACAAAAATTATCTGGAAAATAAGAAGAGAGGTTTTTGTCTCTCTCCAGGTCATTTTCTTTTTTCTTTAGTGAGATGGAGACTCGCCCAGGATGGAGTGCAGTGGCCTCATCTTGGCTTACTGCAATCTCCGCCTCCAGGGTTCAAGCAATTCTCCTGCCTCAGCCTCTTGAGTAGCGGAACTACAGGTGAAGAAGTTTTCATCTCGTTCCACATTAAGAATTAATTTTGTATTAGTTAATGTAGATGGCTGGCCGATTCCTAATTGCTTTTAAAACGTTCCAATCTGTAAAGAGATTAACTTTACAGTGTGTTTCCTCAGCATTTTTCTTGCGTTGCTAACACTGAAGAGTCTGTGGTTCGCAAGTAAAAGAAAAAACAAAGGCAACTCCATTTCAAAATGAAGTAGACAATATCCCATCCCTCCCTGATGATTTCAGTTGCCAGAAGTTATCCCCTCTTCCTTGGCTACAAGTTATATATTTGTTATTAGAGAGTAGTCACTGATTCCTACAGAAGTCCTGGAAATTCTGGGCTTATAAGAGAGAGCAGGCCCAAGTACTATCAAGAACAGGTGGCTAGAATTCTGCTAGAATTTCTAGTCAGGAGAACTTGAAATACATCAGTCATCAGGACTATCACCTGATAAGAACAGTATTATCTAGTTTCTAATGTATCTTCTTTGCCACGACTCAACTAGATTTCAGTTATACCAAAGGGGCAGATGAAGAATATTAAATTGTGGGCCAGATGTGGTAGCTCATGCCTGTAATCCCAGCACTTTGGGAAGCCAAGGCAGGAGGATCGCTCGAGCTGAGGAGCTTGAGATCAGCCCGTGCAACACAGTAAGATCCTATCTCTACTCTCCCTGCCACCCCACCACCGCCTGAAATAAAAATTAGCTGGGCGAGGTGGTACATGCCCATAGTCCCAGCTACTCAGGATGCTGAGGCAGGAGGATCCCTTGAGCCCAAGAGTTGGAGGCTGCAGTCAGCCATGATCATATCACTGCTCTGTTGCAACACATCACTGCTCTGTTGCAACAAAGCAAGACTGTGTCTCAAAAAAAAAAAAAGTTGTGAACTAAAGGCAAGCAACTTCCCCTAAGCCACACCCAATCAGATGGCAGAGCTGAGTAACAGTGTTCAGAGCTTTCCTCAGCCACATCATACACCAAGAAGACATTTTAATGACTTCTTTGCCAGAAAATTATTTAGCAAGGGGACCAAAAAGGAGAATATTTTGCTGCATGAAACTGTTATGTACATATGCATGTGGTATTTCTAGAATATATCATGCCAAACTAGGGAACCAGAACCCATCTCTGGCTCCCAAAAATAACTGTCATACTCACAAGTAGACATTTTTGCACACAGGCATACCTTGAAGACATTGCATGTTTGGTTCCAGACCAGCACAATTTAAAGAAAACACTTCAATAAAGCAAGCCGCATGAATTTTTGGTTTCCTAATGTATATAAAAGCTACATTTGGCAATTTCTGAAAATAAAACAACAATGAAGTTTTGCTGCATCGATTGACTTTTCCTTTCATAAAAGATTTCTTTGCAGCATGTGATGCTGTTTGATAGCATTTTAACCACAGCAGAACTGCTTTCAAAATTGGAGCTAATTTTCTCAAGCTCTTTATCAACTGAGTTTGTTTATGGACTATTCTAAATCCTTTATTGACGTTTTAACAATGTTTATAGCATCTTCACCACAAGCAGATTCCATCTTTTAAAAACTACTTCCTCCAGACTCCATGTTTGGATCCCCTACCATGAACACTGTTGTGGAAGCCGTTTTTCTCTATCCTGGATTTCCCTCTGGAGTCCCCTTCCACGCTCTGTCGTGGAAGCCTGTCTTCCCCTCCTAAACCCCAATATAACATTTCCTCTCCTGGATTGCATCTTTCTGGATTCTCTCATTCAGTGTGAGAGCCGCTTTTCTCTCAATGTGAGAGCCGTTTGTTTCTCTCTGGTTTCTCTCTCTCTCTAAATAAAATCACTTTCTATGACAACAACAACAACAGCAAAAACTACTCCTCAAGATGTCCCTGTGGAGAATAAAAATTTTTAAATAATTTTAAAAAGAAAGCACCTCTTTTGCTCATCTATAAAAAAAATAACCATTCAAGGTTTTGTCTTCTGACAGTTTATGTTAGTTTTGTTTGTTTGTTTTTTGACAAGGTCTCGCTCTGTCACTCAGGCAGTGACACGATCTCGGCTCACTGTAGACTCAACCTCCTGGCTCAAGTGGTTCTCCTACCTCAGCCTTCTGAGTTGCTGGCAATACAGGCATGCACCAAAATGCCTAGCTAATTTTTGGTTTTGTTTTTTTGGAGGGATAGAGATAAGATTTTACCATGTTGCCCAGGCTGGTCTTGAACTCTTAGACTCAGGCAATCCTCCCATCTCAGCTTCCTAAAGTGCTGGGATTATAGGTGTAAGCCACCACGCCTGGCCCCATTCAAGTTGTTTTTTTTGTTTTTTTTTTTTTTTTTTTTTTTGAGTCAATGTCTCACTCTATCGCCCAGGCTGGAGTGCAGTGGTGCGATCTCCGCTCACTGCAACCTCTGCCTCCCGGATTCAAGTGATTCTCCTGACTCAGCCTCCCAAGTAGTTGGGATTACAGCCTGCAATCACACCTGGCTAATTTTTGTATTTTTAGTAGAGACAGGGTTTCACCATGTTGGCCAGGCTGGTCTTGAACTCCTGACTTCAAATGATCTGCCCACTTCGGCCTCCCAAAGTGTTGGGATTACAGTTGTGAGCTACCACAAACAGCCCCCATTCAAGTTTTATCATGAGATTGCAACAATTCAGTCACATCTTCAGGCTCCACTGCTAATTCTCATTATCTTGCTATTTCTACCATATCTGCAGTTACTTCCTTCACTATAGTCTCAAATCTCTGAAAGTCGTCCATGGGGGTTGGAATCAACTTTTATCAACTCTTTCTCATGTTGATATTTCTACCTCCTCCCATGAATCGACAAAACTCTTAATGGCAATTAGAATCACAAATCCTTTCCAGAAGATTTCAATTTACTTTGCCCAGATCCATAAGCGGAATCACTATCAACAGTACCATGGCCATATTTCTTTCCTTTTATTTCTTTTTTCTGAGACAGTCTCACTCTATCCCCCATGCTGGAGTGCAGTGGTGCAATCTTGGCTCACTGCAACCTTGGCTCACTGCAACCTCCACCTCCCAGGTTCAAGCGATTCTCCTGCCTCAGCCTCCCAAGTAGCTGGGCCTACCGGCTTGTGCCACCACACCCGGCTAATTTTTGTATTTTTAGTAGAGATGGGGTCTCACCACATTGCCCAGGCTGGTCTCCAACTCAGGTGATCTGCCCACCTCGGCCTGCCTAAGTGTTCGGATTACAGGCATGAGCCACCACGCCCAGCCAGCCTTATTTCTTTAGAATAAGACTTGAGGCCAGGTGAGGTGGCTTATGCCTGTAATCCCAGCACTTTGGGAGGCCGAGGTGGGCGGATCACGAGGTCAGAAGTTCAAGACCAGGCTGACCAACACAGTGAAACCCTGTCTCAAAAAAAGAAAAAAGAGTAAGACTTGAAAATCGAAATTACTTCTGGATCCGCAGGCTGCAGAATGGATGTTATGTTACTAGGCATGAGAATAACATTAATCTCCTTGTATATCTCCACCAGAGCTCTTGGTGACCAGGTACGTTGTCAGTGACCAGTTACATTATATTTGTTTATTTTTATTTATTTTATGTTCTACTTTTACTGTGCATACACATATATGCAATGTATTATAAAAATGAGCTTTACAATATGTAGTTTTATCACTTGGTTTACAACTAAATATATTGTGAACATTTTCTCTTATACAACAGTTAAAAGAATTGCATAGCTTGGAGGAAACAATTTATTATGCAATCCTGTTGCGGACGTTGAGGTATAATTTTTTTTCTAAGTAGACTTCATTCTTCTTACAATGCCTTTGGAAACAAAAGGGGAGTCCTTGCCTTACATAGCATTCTATAGATGATGGAAACTTGCCCTTCCATTTAGCCTTTTAACTTGCTTCTCTACAGCCATCTAATTACCAATCAAGTAACTCATTTTATGTTCTCCAACCGCTCTCCCCCACTGGCTTCCTCTTTCCTACCCAGTCTCCCTGCACACATGCAGACGTACTTCCCTTCCTTTAGCACTCTGGTTCCTCCCCTTAAAGAGGCTTTATTTCCTTTTAAAAAGACTATTTTAATTGATTTTGATCAACTCTACTCAAAACTGTATCCTAAGGTCCACATTAGGATTAGTCTTTAATAATCTGAAGAGATAACTCAATTGTTTAAAAGAACATATTAAGAAGACCTTGGTAGAATTACATGTATCAAGAAACACTGGACTTAGGCACAACGGAGATATGGCTGACTTTCTTTTGCAAAAAGAAGTAGTTTTTTGGCGGAGGGTGGGGCAAAGAGGTAAGAAGTAGTTGGTTCTGTAAGGAAATGCTAGAGACCATTTTGGAAATGTATTCATTATTTTAAGGCAACTAACAAATGATATCTGAATTTCAGACAGGACATTGTAGCAACAACCTTTACTGGTCATGAAATTTGCCTGATATCTAAAATCGTATTTCTGGAAATAGGTCAATGTCAATGAATAGTAACTTTCTATAGAAAGGCAGATGCCAGTTAGCATCAAAGGGGTAGGTGCAGACGGTGGTAGTTCTGGAGTCCTGGAAGCCATGAGGTGCTCATCCATCACAAGGCCATCACAGCCAGGTAGGAAAGTCTGAGGAAAGCAGCGGAGCTGGCCGTGCCAGCATTTACACAGGGAAGACTTCTTGGGAAGCCAGGTGTCATGGGGCACAGACCCATATTTCTTTTTGCGCACATCATGCTCACAGTTCCATCCAGAGAAGGAAGGCAGACAGGCACAAAAGGACCCCAGCATGCAGGTTCCCCCATTCAGGCAGCAGGTTCTGTTTAGCTCCTGACTGTGCTGTATCCCCACAGGCGGCATAAGCTTGGAAGACCAAGGGCAAATCACAGGCTCCTCCTGAGGCCGAATGCTGTCATCTCTTAAGGCCAGGTCTCCCTGAGATGGACGCGCAAGTTCCTGATGGCCCAGCCCTTAACGACATATTTTTATTTGAGGGAGGGTCTTGCTCTGTGGCCCAGGCTGGACTGCAGAGGCGTGATCACAGCTCACTACAGGCTTGACCTCCAGGGCCTGAGCAATTCTCCCACCTCAGCCTCCTGAGTAGCTGGGACCACAGGTGTGCATCAACACAACAGTTAAATTTTTTTACAGAATCTTTATTTCTGAGCAGTAGGTTTCAACCACGGGCTTAAAATATTCAGTAAACCATCCTGTAAACAGGTGTGCTGTCATCTAGGCTTTGTTCCATTTACAGAGCAGAGGCAGAGTAGACTTAGCATCATTCTTCAAGGCCTTAGGATTTTCAAACTGGTAAAAGATCACTGGCTTCAATTTCAAGTCACCAGCAGCATTAGCCCCTAACAAGAGCATTAGCTTGTTCTTTGAAGCCAAGCACTGACTTCCCTCTGGCTATGAAAGTCCTAGACAGCACCTTCTCCCAATAGAAGGCTGTTTCATCTACACTGAAAATCTGTTGTTTAATGTAGATACCTTCATCTATGACCTCAGCTAGATCTTCTGGATAACTTGCTGCAGCTTCTCCATAGGCACTTGCTGTTTCTCCTTGCGGTTTTATGTTAACAGCGTCTTCCCTTAAACCTCATGAACCAACCTCCAATAACTTCCAGCTTTTCTTCTGCAGCTTCTTACCTCTCTCAGTTGTCACAGAAGTGAAAAGAATTAGGGACTTCCTCTGGATTAGGGTTCGGCTAAGGGAATGTTGTGGCTGGTTTGATTTTCTATCCTGACCACTAAAACTTTCTCCATATCAGCAGTAATATTGTTTTGCTGAACTAGACCTTTCAATTTCCTTAAGAACTTTTCCTTTGCGTTCACAGCTTGGCTGTTTATAGCACAAGAGGACTAGCTTTTGACCTATCTCAATTTTCAACATGTCTTGCTCGTTAATCATTTCTAGCTTTTGACTTAAAAGTGAGAGATGTGTGTCTCTTTCTCTCTCTTGAATATATAGAGGTCACTGTAGGAATATTAAATGGCCTAATTTCAATATTGCTGTGTATCAGGGAATAGGAAGGCCCAAGGAAAAGGACAGAGATGGGGGAACGACCGGTCACTGGAGCGGTCAAAGTATATACAACATTTACAATTAGGCTTGTTGTCTTATGTAAGTGTGGTTCACGGTGCCCCAAAACAATTACAACAGTAACATCAAAGATCACACATCACAGGTCACCATAGCAGATGTAATAATAATGAAAGCATCTGAAATACTACAAGAATTACCAGTGTGACAGAGACACAAAATGAGCACATGCTGTTGGAAAAAATGATGCTAAATGCTCAATGCAGGGTTGCCACAAACCTTCAATTTGTGAAAAACACAGTACCTGCAAAGCGCAAAAAAAGCAAAGCACTAGAAGAGTTAAGAAAATTAATTAATAGACCTAAAGAGAATTCATCTTAAGGCTAAAAAACTAGAATTCTCATTGAGATGTTTTTTTCCCAGGCAGAAATCCAAAGTACAGCCTGCATGTCAAAATTGTGAGTGAGAGACTTCTGTGCTAGCAACATTTTTTGTTTGTTTAATAGAGAAGGGGTTCTCACTACGTTGCTCAGGCTGATCTCAAAGTCCTGGGCTCAGCTTCCCAAACTACTGGGATTACAGGTGTGAGCCGCCACACCTGGCCCTAGCAACAGTTTTCAAGAAACTGAACATAATTATTCAGTGGCTGGTATATATGATGGAGATATTTGTGACTGATCTAATCTGAAGCTTCTCTAGTCTGACTGTCATTAGCAAAGCCTTTGCTACTTCCGTTTTGTCTCAGAAAGCAAAGCAGCTACAAAAAGAGGTAGGAAGGGCAGGAATATGAGCTAGGGATGATTCTGGAATTATAATTACATTTAGATTAACAGATAAAATGAGTAAGGGGGCAAGCACAGCTGGAATAATAGTCATAAAGCACACACACCACCTCTTTTGTAGGCCTTAGCAACTACGGGCCATAGCACTTAACCTGGGCTTTATAAAAGCCCCCTCTCTCTTTCCAAAGGGATGGCAAACATGAAAATGGAAGCCCTTCCTTATACTTATTTGCCATCTACATTCCAGTAGGTGGTCTGGGCTTGAAAGCAGACAGACAGCAATGTCACAGGCAGCCAGACCTTTAACCTGCTTATGAACATCTTTATGCAAAGACAGCTGCTGAGGGCTTCAGGAGAGACCTGCTGACAGCAAGTTTCTGGATGTCCTGTTTGTGCATTTTGGTAAACACAGGGACTCTGCAGTCTCAATCCTTGCTGTAGACAGAGATGAATGGCAGGAGAAGATGCCTTCCTGGGAAGATGGTCATTCATCCAGATCACAAAACAGAAAATTTAACCTGATGCTGACCAACCTCCAAAGCCACCCTCCCAAGAGATAAATCTCAATGGTCTTGCTCCACAGCAAGCTTGTGGGTAGGCTCAAAAATGGCTATACATCGTTTTTAAAGGTTTTTAAATCAGCAGGACAATAAAAGTCAGACACTAAATATGCTTGTTCCTGTCCTCTAACCTTAGACATATCTGATTTGGTCAAATGGAAGAGAACCACAAAAGATGGGCTCTGAGTAATGGCTCCCTTGGTTTTCTGAGAACACTGTACACCTGGATGTGACAAGCCTAAAAATGGCAAAATGATCTATGACTTAGCAAACAGAGGGAGAGGTCATCAAAGTGAGGTAGCAAGGGCAGGAGCATGAAGTGCTGAGAAGGTGAGGATGCCAAACAGAGGAACAATCTGTCTTAATGGTTACCTAATTGTTAGGAGGATTTCTCGCCATATCTACCTTGCGTGTCCCTCTGTACCTGAAAAAACTATAAATTGTGAGGCACAAGCCTCTAACTTTCCTTCTAGTTACCAAAGCTAAGGCAAAAGATTCGGGCAGAAAAATTAAAACGGGCTGGTACACTCCTTGTTATTCTCCCTCCTCATGGAGCACATAGACACTCAGAGAACGGGAGCAACCACAAGCAGCATTCAGTTTACAGTAGAGGGAGGTGCGCAGAGAGGAGACAGAGAAAGAACAAATAGTTTCAACCAGCCAGCAACATCCTTTACTAGAAGACCTGGACTACTAATGTTGAGGTGACTAATCCACAGCTGCTATTAAAAACAAGATTCTGGTCTACATCAGCCCAAAAAAAAGGACAAACACCCCAGGAGGGACTTTCCAAGGATTATTAGAGAAATTAGTCCATTGTTACTAACCAGGGAGCAATATAAGACCCCCTAAGAAAAAACAGTAAGTCAGTGCATGAAAGGTGAAGAAGGAAATGTAAATTCAGGTCATGCTAAAGCCAGGGGAGGGGTGGGGGAGAGCACACAGGTGGGCTGGGGGGAGCATGAGGAGGAGGCAGTCTGACACAGGAAAATCGAGGGGGAAGGAAGGGGAGAGAGAGAGGAGGTGGTAGCAGAAGAAAGGGAAGGTAAGACGAGAACAGAACATTTTAAACTAACCCAGAACTTCCTTGTGAAGGACAAGTCACGAGGCAAGATACAGCTTGAAGGCATGAGCCCCATATTTCACCACTGCAAAGAGATAACACAGCCTCCCAGGCGTGCATAGAAAGAGGGCTAGGCAATCCACAGGACTGACTCCCAGGGCTCCACAGCATTACTGAGAGAAAGTCACCCAGGCTTTAAAGCAACACTAAGTGCCAGCAGCTTTGGCATGTACGTTTAAACTGCTTCCCTGAATAGACCCTGGTGCTGGAAAAACCATAATATCTACAGGAGAACATATTTCACTACAAGTGTCTGCCTGGCTAAGGGAACAGAGACACTCTGTTTCTTTCACTGCTGATATATGCATCCACATCGCCCTAGAGTGGACGGAAGGGAGAAGGAACAGGCTGACAGTCAGAGGTAGCTCTGCTCTTCTCTTGCAGTTGACAAGATAGGACCATGACCTCGTCTCCATTTGTCACACCACTGCCGCTTCAGGCCATTCCTGCATTTCTTTCACATTTACATTTTTCTCAGACAAATAAACCTCCCACTTAGTTTTCCTTTTGCTTCTCAGAGCACGAATGCTAGTGTGTTTAATGACAGCATCAGGAAGGCAAATTGGTACAAAGGTTGTTCCCACTCTCTTAGTGCTTTCTGGCAAAGAGGTTTCTCAAACACATCATAAAGCTTTGTTGGAAGATGACTTGTAGGGAACTATCCATTCAGTTAAGGAAGAAGCCTGAGAGGGAGGCGAGAACTCTTAAGAGTTCTGGACCCAGACAGGACCCCGCTATGTCAAGATGGAAGGCAGGGAGGAAATGACTGACAGGCTGTCCCTCTTCCACAAATGCCAGCAAAAAAGGAGGAAGAAAAAATGCTTCACCGCCCTTCCCTCTCTCTTGCTTTTATGTTTGACAATACCAAAATGTAAGGAATCAAAACAAGAAACAAATGTCCAATTTGATACAGGCCATGAAAGCTCAGTTTCAGGAATGGAAGGAAACACGATGAATGGCTAGAAAAGTCAGGGGCAGCCGGTGAGAGAATGCAAAACCCAGCAATAAGACTGGCTAGCTTAAATTCTAGAGCCTGGGGCTGACTGCTCCTTTAGCGCACTCCCCAGTGGCTCTCCCCACTGACCACTCAAAAAGCCCAAAGAAGCAAGAAATCACTTCTCAACCCACCATGATAATTTGACAGACAACTTTCTAAAGTTCCTGAGTAGAGGGTATGAGTGGGGAGATCAAGAAAGTTAAGGCCACGGAGTAGGATCTTAACGAGTCAGTTTGATCAGGGCAGTAAGACAGAAAAGCCACCTCCTAATTCAAGTATTTCAGAATGAAGACAACATCTCCATAGCTACTCTGCTTAGGAGAAAAAACACCAACCCTCTAGCCTCCCTGATGTGGTAAAGACAGTCCATGAGAAGTTTTCCACAGTCACTGTACATGCACAAGGTAAATAAAAATGTTGCCGGAGGAGCAGCAGCCACCATCCTCTCGCACTCTGGCCTAGGGCCCAATGGGCGGTCTCTGTCCTTAGGCTCCAGTGAATCAGCAAGGCAACTGCCAGAGGTGGAAGTGCTCTGGGCGTCTTAACCCTCTCTCCTTCACCCCATCCTGTTACTCATAAATAATAACCGAGGAGCTGGGAGCAAGAACATCCACCATTGTTGCTCTGACAGTGGCCAACATGGAAGCACTCCAAGCTTGAGAGGAGAGGGAAGAAAGCAAGCTGAGTATGTACTTACTCAAAGTCCTCAAATTCCAAGTCGGTTCCCTCTACAGATGGACCCTGGTTGTCTGAGGAAGAGGAGGAGGTGGAAGAACGGAGACGGTTCTGTTGGTAGCGCATGGAGCGCTGGCGAATACTGTCTCTCCTTGAGAGATACTGGATCATCCTCTGGGCGTAGTATGCAGCAGGAGATAATCTGAGAGAGACAGAGATGGACAAACACAAACTAGCACTAATGTGGGGAATACTGTGAAAGGCAGTCAATCCGGCTCTCCCATGGCATCTCCCTGCTGAGGTGAACTCCAGAGACATGAAAATTAAAGGGCATTTAACTCACCAGGAGGTTTGCACTGCAGAATATGCTTATCGGACTATCGCCAGTGTCTCTGTTCTGAGATAAGGCAATCAGGCGGCTTAACCAGACATCTTCTGAGGAAGAACTGCCCCTCCCCAAGAGAATAACACTGGACCTTTCCTTCTAGCTTCTTAAGGTATACTTTTAGCTCCTCAGGGTGCTCTTTACACAGAGCTGTGCTCATTCACAGCTTTTCCTTGATCACCATCCATACACAAAATGGAAGACATGAAAGGGACTTGAGCAATCATCTACCGTCTTGTTTTATAGATGAGAAAAGAGGCCAGGAGATGGTAAGCCTAAGATGAGTAAAGAAGGCACCCACAAGTATCTTCACCAGGATTTCTTTCTTCTCCAACATGTATACATAGCTCCAGATTTGTCCTACCTCCTTAGAATGATCTCTTGGAACCTCTTTTTTCTCCCTTACAGATTAATCATAGATATTTGTAACATGGGAAAAAAATTCAGAACTGAGACTGAGAATAAAATATACTTGGGAGAACAGAAAATCTAACAGAAAAACTTAAAAGATTTTTTTTCTATTTCTTACAATCAAGAGCATCAGAGGCTACATGGGCACTGGGCAATATGGAAGGTGACAGTTGTTCATCTTTTTTCTCCCTTATGATGGCTATTCCTGTAAATAATTAGTCCAGATCTATATTCTTTAAACTATGGCTTCAATATCTTACTACTCCATGAAAATTTCCAGAGTCCCATACAGTACTCCACATTGCCTTCTCAAGTTTTCTTCCATCTCTCACAACACTGTTGTATAATTTCATGCTATGGACGGAAAACATGAGAGGGACAATAACAGAAAAATGTTTTCTATGATAATATTAAATGGATTACTAAAAAATTTCAGGACTAAAAGCATGCCCCAGGCACACGTTGACTCAATAACTCCACTAGAAACTTTATCCCACAGAAACACACAAGGTTACAAAGATATATATAAGAAAGTTCATTTGCAATATTGTCAGCATTAGCGAAAAAAACTGGGAAGTAACCCACATGCTCAGCAACAAATTAAATTATTAATACATCCATACAAAGAAACACCATGTAGCAATTAAAGAGAATAAATTATTTCTATATACACACAAGGAAAGTCCTCTAAAATAAAATCTTAAGTGGGAGAAAAATTGAAGAATGGTCTGTATACAGTAATATATATACAAAAATATGTTGCTGTTACTAGGAGAAAACACTATAACGGGATACAGAAATCCTAATGAGGATTCCTGGGACTTCAGTATTTTATATACTTCTATAATGTTTGAATATAAAAGGAGAAAAGCATAGATCTTCAGTTTTTTAATGGAAATCTGAAAAAAACTGATTAAGAATGGAAATAGGAACAGTTATAGAAATAGGAACAGTTATATCCAAATGGTACAAAAAATATTGGCAAATATCTTGCAAAGAGGTCCTTAGTAAGTCTACAACTGCAGTCAACTGCTAGAGGAACATAGGCTGCCGCTGAAATGTCTGTCATCAAAGGTGGTATCCTTCTGGCCAACCAGCAAATGGAATTCCCAAGCAGACCAGCTAACAATCTTTTGAACTCAAAAGTCTGTTTTACAGAATAATGTGCTGCAGTGAACACCAATGAGTCAGTATTATAATATCTTTGTATAGCAAGCAGGCATGGGAGGCACAGATGCCTTGGCCAAGAGAATCAGAGAACAAGAGCTAGTTCCTAAAACCCTCAACTGGAGGAACTTTCATTATCTGTTTGGGCCCCTGTTCCCATGCATTTTGCAAGGATGAATCACAGAATCCTAAATTTTCAACCAACAGAAGTCAGTTTTTATGCATTGTTCTTATATCTGCCCGATATGCAGAACTCTTCCAGCAGAAATCAAGCATCACTGGTTAAATTCTCAAGTCAAGCAGACTAGAAAAGAACATAAAAGGAGAAAATTTTCAAGAGGAGAAAGAAGACCCTTTTATCTGGAACCAATTCTGAAAAGTGATCATAAGTACTCACTTTATAGACTATCCTAAGTAATGGAAAAAAATATTATTGGTGATAGAGGTAGACATATGTTGATGCTGCTGATAATAAAAAGACTGCCCTTTATATAGGGACATAGGAATTCCCCAAGCTATGAAACTATAGATTAATGGTTTAAAAAGGATTTCTGTCACAATTATTAAATACAAGTATATCCTAGCCTTGTCCTTTTAGCTATGCAGAGGGAAGCTAAGGATCTGAATGCCGAGGAGGTGTTTCACTAAGGCCCTGACCTATACATAGTGTTACAGGGTGAAGCCTACGAGAAAAAAGAAACTCAACAACCAGTAGAGGTAGTAACAATCATCCTCCTACAAAGAGCTGGAAAATCATCAAACAACCCTGAAGTCTTCCAAGTGAACATTTTAAATGTTTAAATAAACCCTTAAATTTTCTTCAAGGAAAAATACCTCCCTCTCCCAAAAAAAAAAAAAAACCTATTTTGTGTTCAAAGGAAAACTGTAAAAATACCACTACCACAAAGTATGACACTTTCTGTGATAAAGATCACAGTAGGATAAATAATAGATTTATTATATAAAAGGAGGGCAAATCATGGTCTTTAAGTATCCTTGTAGAACACTGCCAGGTTAAAAGTTCTGGGGATGAGATGCCTATTGCTGTCTTTCTTGCAAGAACTTACTCTATTTCAGTGCTTCAAAGTAATATGAAAAATCCCTTTCCCTTATTTTTAGGGTGTATAATCCTCAAATATCATTAGAGACTCACATAAACTTCCTTGCTTCACTCATCATCTAAGGTGCCTGCCTGTTTTAAAGTCATCAATCCTTATGTTCCCCGATCCTTCTTAGGATTGTCATTTCTCTAGGGTGTAGAAAAGGAACTAAGAGAATAATGGAGAATCTTTATTTACACCAGTATCTCAGAAAGAATGCTCAGTGTCATGATATAACTGTGGCAACAACAAAATCACTTAATATTCCTGGAATGAACTTGGTCTAAAGGTTTTCCCAGGCAGACCTAAAATTCTTAATCTAGAGCAAAATTCATTTTGTTTATTTTACCTAACCTACACTGCTAACCTGCCAACCCCACAATTATAAATTACCCTTTTCTTTGGGCAAAGCCTCATAATGTGCTCTAGAGTTGCTTAAATAACGTGCCTTTTTAGATCACTAACAGAATCCATAAATCTGGCTGTGACAACCCCAAAGGGGTTGCTCTCCTGCAGATAAATGTCATATCCATCAATATCCCACTCCTGGTCCTCAGTTATCAGCATCAGTGAAAGGAAGACCTTGAACTCATTGAAATAATTTTTGTTTTATTTTTTATCTCTTCAGAACTTTTCAAATCTTTTTTTTTTTTTTTTTTGAAGGTTCATTTTGCCTCCCAGGCTGAACTGCAGTGGTGCAATCTCAGCTCACTACAATCTCTGCCTCCCTAGTTCAAGTGATTCTCCTGCCTCAGCCTCCCAGGTAGCTGGGACTACAAGTATCCACCACCCTGCCCAGCTAATTTTTTGTATTTTTAGTAGAGACGGGGGTTTCACCATGTTGGCCAGGCTGGTCTTGAACCCCTGACCTCAAGTTATCTGCCCGAATCAGCCTCCCAAAGTGCTGGGATTACAGGCATTAGCCCCGTGCCCAGCCTCAAATGTCTTCTAATATGTGTAAAGCAAGCACTTTAATAAAACGCCAACTTTTTTTTTTATCCATTTATTTCTTCTTCGATCGTCTTCCTTCGGGCAGTCTCCAAAAATGTCAATACCTGAAGGAGCTTGACTTCTGCCTTTTGATAATCTAAATTCCCTCTCAAATGAAAGCAAATCGAGTTTTTGTTTAATTTGTATATAATTTCCCTATAAATAAAAATAATTTTGTTCCCCTGTTGGCTGTCCATCTGAATGGCAACAGCCTCTCTGGCCAACAGAAAAAGAGTATCCTATGGCTACCTGTGGCCTCCCCAAGTTTCCCCTCTAGTACCCCACTTGCAGAAATGAGTCCCAAAGGACAAGAGCTCAGTCATAACCCTCTGTCACCAGAGGTACTGTTCACTTACCTGCAACACTTCCCCATCACCTGAACCACCTGTCTCAAAACTGTAACTGAAGAATAAAAGAGCACCAGGACCAGAGAGGCACAGAATGGAGCTTCCAACAGCATGGCAACCCCAAGGGCCGCCCCTCCCCCCCACCTAGTGCCATTTCTCACTTTGGCCTTACCTCGCTGGGTCTGGGTAAATTGGGTGCTCTCTGGATCCTGCTCCATCATAACGGGATAATGAAATGAGGGAAGATTCCAGCAGCCTCCTAGCAGAGATTAAAAAAATGGCAATAATCCCTGTCAATTACCAACTCAGAGGTCATTCATAAGGAAAAATGGGGGAGATACATAACTTCCCCCTTTTGCAGCCAGCTAATGCCTGTTATCTGGGATCACACCCTTCCTACAAGCTAAGTAGGTAGAGACATAAATGAAGAGCTGCAGAGCTCCTACACTGGACATGACCACTGCATTCTGCTGAATACTGCTCTTCAATTAGAAATGAACAAGTGTTTCAGAGACATGACCTTGTTTCTATTTGCAGTACCTCAAGTAAACAAATAGGTTGGGATCAACACAGGAGGGAAAAATCAGGCACACACAGAGATTATCACATAGTGCTAACATTTATCTTGGTGTTCGGTTACTCCATGCCATCATCATCAACATCCACTTACTGTCTATCCATTCTGCCCTGCCCATGCTCTCTTTTTTTTGTGAGAATGAGTACTCCTCAGATATAGAACTATAATATATCAATAAAAACATATATATATATATATATATATATATATATATGCCGTGAACTTTATATATATTTTTTCTTTGTTAACACCTCATCACAACCTAGAAAGGTGGGTATGACTACATACGTGAGAATACTGGGCCCAGAAGCTCAAGTCCATCACTCTGTGGCACATAACCATTAAGAGATAGTAACAGGACTCCAGGGAAGGCCTGTCTTAACTCCAAGATGCCTCAAACCTCTATTTTGTATTCCAGGACCTTCCAGGGTCCAGGCAGGAAACAAGTACATATGTATTCACTGTGATCAATGGAGACTGACAAACAGGAGGGTCTGTGGTCCATCGTTTAGCTCCAGCCACTTGTTACAAAGCTAGAATATAGGCTCAGTGTTGCTGGCTTTTCCTATTTTTTAAGGAAAGCCAGAAATCTGGACTTTGGCATAAAATCTCCTGATTGTTAAATTTTTGCTACGACTTTTTTTTTTTTTTTTTTTGGTACAAGGGCCAGTTAGAACACATATGATAAACATGGCCCAGGGGCTCCCTGGTTTGCCATGTCTGACATGGTGCTTCCCAACTCATATGTGCCTTGGCAGCCAATCAAGCTTCTGCCCCAGAACACGTTTCAGAGAAAACTGTCTCAGAGAGAAAGGCATATTGTTCCTCTCCAGCAGCATCTTGCCTGCCTCTCCTAGGAACAGGTCCCCGGCTCCCTGCCAGACTCTTTAAAGCAGAGCTGGAGGATAAGGACAGCAGCTACCAATCTTCTCCAATTGATTTAATTCAATTCACTGTTATTAAAACCAGCTGGCTTTAGGTATAGTCATGTGCAGTCACTTTATCCCAGCAACTGGCTTCCCCTAACAGCCTGGGGAAGAGACATAGTGAAGACCCTATCAACCTGGCTTGCAACCTTTCCTGCCCAGGACAACCAACTGTCAAATAATGTACCCTGTCTAGACGAGGCCGATATCCCCACACCTAGACACCTGTAACAATCCTACCACTGAACAGAGAGAACATGATGTAACCAATGAGGAAGAGAGGAATGCAGTAAAATACATCTCTCTGGTTGAAAGACTGAATCTTCAGTTAACAGTACTATGATTCTAGTGGCAGAAATGCTGTTTCATCAATTCTAAGACATACATTTTCTTTTCACATTTTAATGTGTCTGAAGTTGGGGTGCATCTTACAACTGTGTGACAGTTGAATTGGATTTTTTTTTTCCCCGATAGACACGGGGTCTGGTTATGTTTGTTATGTTCCATAAGCTGGTCTCAAACTCCTAGCCTCAAGTGATTCTCCTGCCTCAGCCTCCTAAAGTCCTGGGATTATACCTGTGAGTCACTGTGTCTGGCCATTGGCAGGATTTTTTTCATGATTTCATTGGAACACATAAAATAATGGCATGTCTTTAAATTATAGTATGTGTGGAATAGGTAAGGGTAGTGAGAGGTACATAGTCTGGAGAAAAAAGAAAAGCAAAATTTTGAGACAAGTATTCAGGTAACTTATGCCATCTTATACAATACTTCTTTTTCTATAGTACTTATTCATTGTTAATAAACCAGTTCTTCAGGATCTGGGTGTGAGCTGATGAATGGAAGCAAGGTCTGAGAACAGCTGATTCTCCTAGAATACCCAGAAGCTTGTTCCACCCTAAAGTGCTCTAGAGTTAGTCCTGATTGTCACTCTGTCCTGTCATATTATCCTCCAAGTGGCCGGATTGTCACTCTGTCCTGTCATATTATCCTCCAAGTGGCCGTTTAGTAAGCAGAGGCCCTTTGGGAAGCAGCATCCTTCGAGTGACCAAAACACATCCTTCTTGGCTGGGCACAGTGGCTCATGCCTGTAATCCCAGCACTTTGGGAGCCCAGATGGGCAGACTGCCTGAGCTCAGGAGTTCAAGACCAGCCTGGGCAACATGGTGAGACTACATCTCTACTAAAAATACAAAAAATTAGCCAGACGTGGTGGCACACGCCTGTAATCCAGCCACTTGGGAGTCTGAGGTACAAGAATCATTTGAACCCGGGAGGCAGAGGCTGCAGTGAGCTGAGATCGCACCTCTGCACTCCAGGCTGGGTGAAAGAGCAAGGTTCTATCTCAAAACAAACAAACAAACAAACAAACAAAAATACATCCTTCTTAAGTACTTCTGCCTGGAAATTGATCATGGTAACAGAGGCAAATATTACCCCCGCTCAGCTAAATCAATGACAGTACTGAGTGAAATGGGATGATTTATCAGGAATGCTGTAAAGGAGATTCCTGATCTGAAGGGTTTGCATTAGATCACTTCAATTTTAATGACTCCATTTTACAATCCTGCAAAGTGTACTTCTCACCTTAATTTCCTGCCTTAATTAGGAAGATTTCTTTAAGTCAGAATAGAACCAAAATGCTAAGCTTTGTCTCTGGAGAGTCCCTGCTGAGGTTCTTTTGGAACATGCATCCCCTATGCCTATTTACTACAGAATGTGTTGGCAACATTTGCTGCCCAGACAATACCGTGGAACTGGCAAGCCACAGATATATGTCATTTTACTGCTAACACACAAAATCAGGAAAGCCAATCACTGTGAATACACATACACACATCACTGATGAAACATAAGTTCTTCATAGTTATAATACAAGTGCTATGTGGAATAAATACAGGCTTCTCCAATAGGTGTGGAATAAAGAAAAAACTAGAGTTCCTAGATGAGCAAACATCACCACCACCATTCCTAGGAACCTCAAAAAAAGTTCTTTCCTTCCCAGTGTAGCCTGTTACAGAGGGCCCTCACTGGGAAATGGCAGGAGAAAATGGAATGGGATGGCAGTTCTGCACGTTTTGCTGTGACCACCGCAAATTCAACTTGACTTAAATGATCACGAGAAATCAAGGAGGAGCCGGGCGCGATGGCTCAAGCCTGTAATCCCAGCACTTTGGAAGGCTGAGGCAGGTGGATCATGAGGTCAAGAGATCGAGACCATCCTGGTCAACATGGTGAAACCCCGTCTCTACTAAAAATATAAAACATTAGCTGGGCATGGTGGCGCATGCCTGTAATCCCAGCTACTCAGGAGGCTGAGGCAGGAGAATGGCCAGAACCCAGGAGGCGGAGGTTGCGATGAGCCAAGATCGCGCCATTGCACTCCAGCCTGGGTAACAAGAGCGAAACTCCGTCTCAAAAAAAAAAAAAAAAAAAAAAAAAGAAATCAAGGAGGGCCTAGGAAGAACTCAGACAAGCTTGTTCAAGTTTGAAGCTGCCATCACTAAAGCTGAGGAAAATAAAAATACAAAAAAACAAAACAAATACTTCCTTCTTTTCTCTACAAGCTTGCCCAGTTCATTCTGTACACCACTGGTGTCCAAGTGAAGTATACCAGGGGTTGTACTGTTTGATCCACTGGACAGCAAGGGGAAAATATGGCAACTTCTGCTACATAATATATAATCATAGCACACATGGATTACTCAAAAGCATTTTATTAATAAGGTTTTTTTTGTTTTTTTAAGTCTGAAGGCCACTGCTCTATCAAACTATATATTACTTTAAGAATACTGAATACTTGGGCAGGTGCGGTGGCGGCTCATGCCTGTAATCCCAACACTTTGGGAGGTCGAGGCCGGAGTTCAAGACCAGTCTGGCCAACACAGTGAAACCCCGTCTCTACTAAAAATACAAAAATTAGCCGGGCGTGGTGGCGTGTGCCTGTAATCCCAGCTACTCAGGAGGCTGAGGCAGGATAATCACTTGAACCCAATTTACTCTGGAGGCAGAGACTGCAGTGAGCCAAGACCACACACTGCATTCCAGCCTGGGTGATAGAGTGAGTCTCAAAAAACAAAAACAGGCCGGGCATGGTGGCTCAAGCCTGTAATCCCAGCACTTTGGGAGGCCGAGGCGGGTGGATCACGAGGTCAAGAGATCGAGACCATCCTGGTCAGCACGGTGAAACCCCATCTCTACTAAAAATACAAGAAATTAGCTGGGCATGGTGGCGCATGCCTGTAATCCCATCTACTCAGGAGGCTGAGGCAGGAGAATTGCCTGAACCCAGGAGACGGAGGTTGCGGTGAGCCGAGATCGCGCCATTGTACTCCAGCCTGGGTAACAAGAGCGAAACTCCGTCCCAAAACAAAACAAAACAAAACAAACAAAAAAAAACCCCACAAAAACAAAAACAACAACAACAAAAAGGAATACTTAAAAAATGGGATAACTTTAAATATTTTTTAAAAACTATATACATATAGAAGTATAACCATATTCATATATATATATATATATAGAGAGAGAGAGAGAACAGAAGAGAATAATAAAGAAAATGGGGTAAAATGTTAACATTTAGAGAATGTGGGTGAAGGGTATATGGGAATCCTCTGTACTATTTTTGCAACTTTTCTGCAAGTCTGGTATTATTTCAAAAGAAAAACATACAATATACGAAAATCTTAAAATACTGAAAAGCAAGAGATAGCCATTTGTTTTCAAAAGAATTACTTCGTAAAAAGGATTTCTTCA